TCCCATGCTATCGGACTGCTTGTTTTTTGAAATGACCTCTATTGTGAAAATGCTTCACAACATTCTAAAACAATAGTTTTAGCCAGTCCCCTTCAGTACATATGGTTATTTCCCTCATGTTAATGACACTAATTTAAATAGAAGTTGTTATAAAACAGGAAAAAGGTTTTCCTAGTAAGGTGTTAAACAGCCAATACCACAGCATGTTCATTTTGAATTACATTCTGTATGTGGTCATTTCAGACACGCTGGAAACAGAGGAATTATTCAATTAACTTTTGTTAAATATATTACAGCAGATATATTTACAAATATATTCCAGAAACACTGCCACAAATGTATACAACAGGATAGAAGCCATCAGTTAAAAGGCAGGAGCAGCTTTTCCTTGTGATGGAAAAGCTATTTTAAAATGTGAACTCAACAACATGCTCTTTAGTAAGTAGTTACCAACATTTAGTATAGCCTTCCTGAATCTGTAGCAAACCTAAGACAACAGCACAGAGAAATGTGTAATTATACATTTCATATTAAAAGAAAGGCTTACTCTGAAAACCAATTATCATAACAGACAACTATGTCCATGTTCAGCCCTGGAACAGGTTTCTGCTTGCTCAGAGCTTTCAGATGTGGTGAAGGCTGGAAGAGCACCACTGTCGCTTTGGAACAACAAAAAGCAGGAATTAACAATGCAAGTCCCCAGACTGTCTTAGACATCAAGTCCAACCTGACCAACAGCACAAGGGAAAAGGGAAGACACAGTAAAAATATCTTTCAGACCTAGCGTTTCACAATTGTAATCCAGTTCTAGTGCTTTCCAGGCTGGCAGATCCACCTAACCCCATCTAGCACAACTGCCCATCCAGCCTCATCACATCTCCAAACACAAAGTCAGCTTTGTCCACTGAACCTGCAGAGCACAGCCTATGCAAAAGACTGTATCTGAGCACAAAATGAAACTGAATTTATGTTCAAGGAGTCAACACAAGGAGCAAGAACAAAAGGCTTCCAAGCTTTGTGCTTTCCATAGTAACAGCTTAATTTATGAGCTTACCTATAGCTGCCATACAGTTTGGAGTTCACTGAAGATTCATAGTTGTCCACACATTTCCATCACAGGGATTCTGTTCTCTTCTTTCTGGGAGCAACAAAAGACAGAGGCCATTGGAGGACTTTATTGAACACACATTTCAGTCTTTTTAATTAAAGAACAGGGGGAGGGAGCAGAACAAGAGGAAACAAAGCCAGACTTAAATCACTTTATAATCTCTAAGGCCATGTGTCCACACCTTTGCATGTATAAGAGCAGTATAAAGATGCCATACTAACTGGAAATGGTGGCCAAATCAATATTCTACAGATCTACATGGGCAAATTCTCAAGGAACTGGGCTGCTTGGCCCAAATATCTTGTTGACCTGCTAAAACAGCTGATACTGAAGACTACAATGACATGAAAATAGTCTGATTTAATCTGGATTTAGCCTTGATGATAGGCTGATTTAATTTGGATTTGGCTTTGGTAATAGGCCTTTAACACCAGCACAGCAGCACATAAGAAAACTTACACAATTAAGTGAACAATGAAACATATTCCAGTCTTCTTTTTTTTTTTTTTTAATAACTTTTTTATGCTGGCATGAGAAGCCCTGAAATGAGTATTCTTAGCACTCATTATACATGGTTTTAAGCTTAGGATTTTCCTGTGCTAAAAGTGGTGAGTCTTGTCCACTGAGGCTGATGCAGACCACTCAGGAGCTAGTGATACCAGAGTTTTGCAAGGCACAGCACCATGCTCCAAGGCTGGAACTTACTGCCGGGTAGTCTCTCCAGAGACTACCATGGCCTTTCCAAGGCAGAAACTGACACCTATTTTGCTTATGTGCAAGTTTGGAAGTCCTTTTCCCACCCTTCTGCAAGTGTACTTACAATCAAAAACACAGTCTATACTATTTTATCTATATTCAACCCTGCAGCTTTACATCAAGGTCCCTGCTAACAGAAGCACTGGTGAACACCACAAGCTCAGCCTCATCCCAATGGTCTGCTTGAAGTGGCTGGGTGGGGAGCAACACTTCCTCAGCTCCTCCACCGAGCAGACAGGGAAGGAGGAGCGCCAAAAGCACATTAGGAGAACTGAATTTAGATCTTATTTAGACTTTAAAGCAAACATTTCAGAAAGGAGAGCAGGGGAGAGTCACATCTACATACACTGCCTGGCCACCAGCCATGCCAGTGCAGCCATGCCCACAAGGCAAAGGCTACCTGACCATATCCACACCATGCTCTAAGCCACGACAACAGCCCAAGAAAGCCGCAGCCCAGCTGCCGCCTCCTCTCCCCCTCAGGATAAGAGTGCCCTACCCGCTGGGAGGATCCCGTCACTGAGCAGGAGAGGTGGTGCCTCATGGCTGCAGGGCAGGAGGCCCAGAGCCCGCCCACTGTGGGGCTGACCTTCCCCTGAGCACCGGAAGTGGGCATGTGAAAAGGCGGAGCATTTTCCCCCAGCAGAGAAGCAAGCTTGTCTGCATGTGCCTGAGGGAATAAAATAATCCCCGTGATTAGGGGAGGGGGCACTCTGCCCAAATACACAGGAGGGCTTGCTAGGAACATCTCAACCCCAACTGAACACTGATGGAGGGGGGAAATGTATGGGCCTTGCAAACATGAAGGTCTGGTCTCCCATGCGTGGGGCCCCTTCACCTCCCAGCTGCTTGAACCATGGGGAAAAAACAGGTCCATTTAAGATAAGCAGCAGCACTCAAGCTGTGATGGTGTTGCTGGTATGTCCTGTGTGGTATTGTAGAGAACAGTGGCAAGAAAGGGAAATTGAAAGCTTTAGAGGGGCTCTGGAGAACCATTTTCTCCGCAGGCTGGCAGCTGGACAGGTGCTCACTCACCCTTGCACAATCACTCTCTGTAGCCAAAAGCACCCAGAAAGGGCAACAGGCAGTAGACGGGGATCAAGTGGGCATGGTGGTATGAGGTCACCAGGCCGAGGAGGGAACCAGGGCACCTCCCCTTGTCCATAACCCCCTGGAACACATGGCTACACCCTATTCTCCCTGTTAGCACTGGGTCACTGCTCAGAGCATCCTCTCTGCAGGCTGACAGGGCCAGAGGCAATGGCCAGTCTTCTTTAGTGACATTCCCACCCCTAAATAAGTTTTCACCATGGAGACCGCCTCTCTTTCATCTCTCATCCCAAGAGAAACAACATTGCGGGGCTCCAGTTCCTGCCTGTTAGCTCAAACCAAAAGGAATAACTATAAACTAAGAATAAATACTAATTAACCTGAATCTTTTTTCGTATCGTGATCTGAACCAGACGCTATATCTATCTTTAACTTAAGGCTGCTTTGAGATGCACCCTCTATCCGCAGCAGGCAAAAATAAGATTCTTGCTTTTGAGAAAGTTAATTGTGGGCCTCAACAAGTCACATTTCTTGGCAATACTTATCTTTAAATACTGTGAACTCACAAGGGTTTGAGAGGCCATATATTTTGAGTGCCTCCGATATAGCAAGTTTTGTAATCGAGGAGCATTTAATCCAGCAACTTTCCCACATCCTGCTGGAAAAAGAGGTGAATTATTTCTCAGTGTGGACAGCTTTTGCAGTGCACACAAGTGTTGAATAGAGGCTGTCCCACAAAATCCAGTCAAAGGCTGCACAGGCTCACAGCTGAGATTTAGCCCCACCAGTGCAGGGGAGAGTGGGGTGGAAGGCATACACTGTTCCCTGTTGAGGTGGTTAAAGTCTATATTTGGCTTTATATGGGTTCTAGTATCAGAGAAAAATAGAACAGGGTTAAAAATGAAGATTTATTTCCTCAAGTATTTCAATATTTTCAAAGCTGCTTTGTTTTGATTTTTTTTTTTTTGGTTGAAAGTAAACAGTGTACATCTGTGAAGAGCTGAGCCAACAACAACAGTTACCTCTGCTCTCCTAGAAAAAAGCCCATGAGTCTATGCTGAAGGAAAGAACGGCAGCACCATCACCCCAGGAGAGCCTGAACAGCTATTTGGTAGCCAAAACCACTGAGGATTAAGTATCATTCCACCTTTTTGGCAAGTCCAACTACCATCTATCTCTTCTCTGTGTCTTGCAAAGTGGTGGTGTTTCCTAAGGTAGTAAGGTATTAAGCATGCAGAGAAAACCGTATGGGACAACCAGAAGTTACTTCATTCTTACCAAAACTGATGGGAATTATATACCAAAGTTTTTGAGAATCCTGCTAAATTTAATGACTAAGTTTTTCTTAAGTCCTCTATTTAAGGTGTTGGCTGGCTGTAAATCTCCAAAGGTACCTAGTCAGTAGGAAACACTAGCCAGAGTTTAAGCTATGTGAACAGAGTCCCAGGTGCTCATGTGTATTTTAGGCCCATAAATCAACCTTCAAAAGCCTGGTCAAGAGTCCTTTCCTTGAATTGAAAGCTCATATTCTTAGATGAGTCCCAGAACCAAAACTCCCATTGTAACAAATGCACAGGCATCTCCTTTCCTGGATGTGGGTGGTTTTGATGCCTGCGCTAGTTACAAGAAGCAATGTCCTGGAGAATGTGAAATTTAGGAAGATGAGTAATGTACAAAATGTGGAGGCAGTGAGAGATGATCCACATATTATGTGCTTTTATTTAATAATTTATAAATAAATATGTGCTTTCCCAAACTGCCCCTAAGCCTAGCAATTGTATGTTGACTGATTTCTTGTTATTGCTGTTCTTTTAGAATAACAAACTGTTCCCAAAGCCTCACATACACAGTTAGACAATCAAAGTACTGTGTGCAATTTTTCACTTAATTCATTCAGTTAGCTGCAAATAATAAAACTAAAAGCCTTGTATGTTTCTCTGAAAAAAATACAAAAATTTAGTTGTTACTTTAATATATACAACCTACAAGAAAGAGTAACAAAGCCCCTTTGTCTTCCCTGTTGTAGTAATTTTCTTATCCTTTTCTGTAGATGCCCTGGCAGTCATCATATTTCTTTCAGTCACTGTTCTTCAAAAGACACACACTTTTCATTCAACTGCACAGAATGAAAAGGAATTCAGTGAGCCAGATTCCCTTGGTGATCAGATCCACTTTAGCTGCCCAGGGAGGACTCAAGGTGAAGATGCAGCAGTCTCATCAAGAAGAGAATTGAACCTATTTAGAAGGGAAGAGGTCACCATTTTAGCAGGCTAAAGTGATATTTCTGTTCAGATTTTACCTAGATATTTTACCTAAATATTTCATATTTCTGGAAAAGCAGCATCTTCATGGCTACTGATCTGTGCTCACCCGCTTAATATAAAAGACATACCAAGTTTTAGTGGAACTGTAGAGCCATTCCTTTTATGGTTTATGGGGTTTCACTAATGAAACCTGATGATAATCTAATTAATATTATACCAGTTCCACAGGTGGAAAAGAGAATAGAGGCTGTATCTTGCCCCACAAGAAAGTGATAAGCCATCCTAATAGAGCAGCTGTGACTGTCTCCCATTCCACTAAGCTGCTCCAGTAACTGTGCAGATTTCCATCAGCCAAGAACACACTCAGAGTGTGCAGTGCTCAGCAGCAGCATCCCTGCAGTCTGAGAATGCACTGTGTTTGTCCAAGTCTTACAACGTTTCCAGAGCTTTTATGAGAAGGGTACATGTCAACGCTGTCCCAGGTAGAAGATTTGCTACTCTTTGGTATGTTAATTCATTATTTCAGCTCTACTTTTTGACGGAGGCTTTGATTCAGCCTACTCCTGCAAGAGAATAACAAACTTCTGATTTGGATCTGCAGACTTAATTATTATCCCACCAACATAAATAAGAATTTCATTTAAGTTCAGTTCCTGAAGAAAAAACTATTGTGCCTACTTTGATAAGGTGGTATGAAATCTATCCAAACATTTATCAAATTATGTGAAATCTTACTGGAAGAATATGTTCTGAGATTTTGTGAATAAAATCCCCCAGGAAGCAGTAACACCAAAATGTATGTCAGAGCAGAGACTCACGAAGTTTGGTCCAAGGGGAATTCATTGCTCATCTAGTGTTCACCTTTATTCTTTTATCCCAGTACACAACAGTACAAAAAGAGGATGGCAAAGTAAAGAACCCAAACCAGCATTTCTTTTCCAGAAAGGCAGAACTCTCTGCCAAACCCAGATCCAGTTACAGAAACAATTTCCATTATTTTCCTTCCTTTCAGTTACTGTAGTTCTGCAAAGATGTTACACAGTGATAAATGGCAAGAAAGACAATTCACAAAAAAGATACTTATTCCAAAGTTATTATTATTAAAAGAAATGCTAATACCATTCTCCTGGCATATGACTTTATACTTGAAGAATCTTGCAGTTTGAATTTAATCTGGTTGAAAGAAATCTGGTTGAAAGACCACACATCCAACTATTGATAAATATTTCCAGCAAATCTAATGAAAAAAGGCCCCCAACCATCTCTGCTTGGCATGTTTTTTCCAAATGTGTTTTCTTAGCTTAGGTCACTATGACGGAGATAACACTAGGCAGATAGCAACTATGCGTCTTCTGTAATAAAAATACTTTTCATAAGACATTTCAGGGAAATTGGATTACTAACAAACTTTTTATAAAGTTAAACTTATTATCAATGGATACCGAGGATCATGCTATTACAGTAAACTATATATAGTAAGGCACTGTCCATGAAATCAAAGAGATATTTCATATCACTTTAATATACTGACATTATCAAACAACCTATAAATACTGATAACATTTTCATTATCATCTACACTTAACCTTCTTTATGCTTTCAAGTGCCCTTATGTTTTATACCTGAAAACATGCAATTTAGCTCCACAGAGTAACTCCAAAAATCACATCAAGGAAGTTCTTTATTGGTTTCACTCAATGACTTCCAGACTAAATCTGATCTTCTATAAACACAGTAAAGGCTTTCTGTAAGTGTCTAGTCTAAAAACACATGGTTGAAGTTAGTAGATCTTTTCAATCCAGCAACAAAGGACCATGCAACTGAAACACAGCTAATGATTCTGATGATGACACACATACTGGAACAAAAATCAGTGATGAGACACACAGTATGAGAAGAATAAAACCATATTAAAGAATTAAAAGAAGATTGTGGAGCACACAAAAGGAGTACGTTTGAATGTGAAAGTACCTGCCTTTTACCTACTCACCTTTCAGACATTTGGCTTCACTAAACTCCCAAGTAGCAATGCAAAAATAAGCATAAATGCCAGAATGCCAAGGTAAGGAAGAGGCAGACATTGTAAATCTGTTCACAGTAGTATTCCAGATTGGTGCTAAAATAAGAGTTATGAGCTACATTCATTTCAAGTAAACACAAGAATATCTACAGTCAGTTCAGGCCTTCTTTAGACATCATCTACTAGGAAAGAAAGGAAGAAATTATAGCTTCTGTAGAACAGCAGTGAAAGTGACAAAAAGTGACAGAAAGTGAAAGCAAACAAACTCTGGTCCCTTCTTCAGTTCAAGTAAAGGAGAGTTACATGTGCGAATCCCTGAGGGTGACATTCTATCCAGCCTAACATGGCTGCGTTTACCCACACTGCAAGCTCCCAGATCAAAACAGTTGCCTCAAGCCTCCAGAAGAAAAATGGTTTCACAACAATATACTGTTATAAATAGAGGTTGGTGGACAAACAATCTCTCCTTGTAAAAAAAAAAAGCTTTCTTACTTAAAAGTTTGCTAGCAGACATGATCTATACCAGTCACATCAGAAGAGCAATAGAAACTTAACAGTGACATTTGAGGCCCATGCATCTTGAATAGTTTATTTTGTGAATGGATAAATATTCTCCAGGCCTCCTAGAATAGGGAAACAAGAGCAAAAGAAGCCCTGGAGTCCTCCAAGGTTTCTGGAGAATCTCAGCATTTCCATCTAGCTTTCCATTCAAGTATTTCTATCCTTGGTTATTGATACTAAATAAAGCCATGGATCCACTGAATAGTAACAAATCAGCAACCCCTAATAAAATTAAAGTAAGCTAGACAACATTGCTATATAGAACAAAGTAGATTCTTCTCTCAAGCAGCAATGATAAGAACAGAAAGAAAAGCAGCAGATGTGTGCTGCTGCAGACCATCAGCTGGGAAGAGCTGGCAGTTGTGTAAATTCTGTGGTTTTGTCCTGGAGTTTGTGGCTTCAACCCCAGGTCCTAATTCCTTGACACAAACCACCAGAGATCTCTCTGAGTAAATGCAAGGCCAGCTCCTTCTCAGCAAGGCTCCATCAAATTTAAATACAATCCATGCAAAAAGCCTCCAGCTTAAGCATCCTGCCATAGTCATGGTTGTTCAACACAGCAATATGCAGACAGGAGTGTGACATAGCTGAGAACGAGACCCATTCAGTGTGACAACCAGAGAAAATCCCCTGACCACCTCCCATCAGCTCAGGCTGCCCATCTTGTTGGACAGCCTGTCAGGAACACAACTCAGCTGCCTTCTCTGAATCAGACACAGAGGACTGCAGATTGCTTAATATTTCCTGTATTCCAGGAGCATCCTGGAGATTGTAATCATGCTAATCAGGTATTGGAACAGGCTTTCCAGGAAAGTGCTAATCAGGTATTGGAAGAGGCTTCCCAGGAGAGTGGTGGAATCACCATCCCTGGAAGTGTATAGACGAGACCCTCAGTGATACGGTTTAGTGGTGGACTTGGCAGTTCTGGGATAATGGTTGGACTTGATGATCATAATGAAGTCTTTTCCAAACTAGATGATTCTATGATTCTATTATTCTATGATCATGGCCCTTGGCCATGCTCTGCTAGGCACTTTCCACACACTGGGCAAAAGGCAGCCTCTGCATGCCAGTTCTACTCTAAGGAAGGCCCACCCGCTTCCAGCGGTACTTGGACAGCAGCAGCTTTTGAACCACTCCATGCTTAAGGATGCCCTTCCCAACATCTGAACAAAGCTAACAGCCTGTTCCTGAACACTGGGAATACAGCAAACCTGTACGAGCACCAGTAGCCAAAATCACCCAACCTGTTGACAGTGGAGCTAGACAGATGAAAGCCACACATGGGGCAGCCCCTGCTTTGCATTTTGGTACGTATAGAAAGGAGTGAGGGCAGAGTGGAGACAGTGAGGACCTTGGAGAGTGTGTCTGTTACTTGAAATCACTCTAAAGCACATTATAGATCTGTTAAATCATTGTGGCTTACCCTGTATTTCAGAGTAAATTAGTAACTTTTCAGAGGGAGTGAAGAAAATACCACTCCACTTTTAAATAATGAAAATGCTAAAAAACCTACACTTAACAGCTCTAAAACTGCAGCAAGTCACCCACCAACACCCACTCCTCTTGTCAGCAGGCTTTTTTCAGCTTTGCCTATTATTTGTGTCGAGCCAGAGATGCTTAATGTTTGCTGTGCTTATCTGCTCAACTTTCAGAAGCCACAGATGTTACAATATGCACCTGTGCCACTGACCTCTTTCCCATAGCATTTTGATCAAATAAGTAACAAAACACAGTTTCCAAAATCATTTGGATTCACTGGCTCTGAGTGCATAGCTGTAAAAAATCTGCTTTAAGATTAACATCCAATTTTATTCATGCCTCAGGCTTCACCACAGCATCTATTTCTGTAAGATTAACAGCAAGATCCCAGTTCTCCAGAAATGTAAAGAGTAACAGCCAATTGTAAAAGGAAGATGATGTTTCCTAACCTACCCTTGCTCACATCCAGGAAGGTACATTTTCCTCGCCTTTTCCATGGTGGGTGTAATTTCTATTTGCATTTTTGCACCCACAGCATGCAGCATGTATATTAGTCCTTCTGCCTCCCATTAGCTGAAATGCATTTCTGATGAAACTGTGGGTGCCAAAAAATACTAACATGTGCAAAGTGTACCCTGAAAGACAGCTTTTACTCTGGAGGAGTTAAGAAACAGCCATCTTCCTCTACCTTGCACAACAGCATTTTGAATCATCTAACTTGATAATAGAAGTATAGAAAATGAGCACTTGATATTTCAGCTAATCCATTTGAAATGAATATACATGAAAACACTTATTTTTGAACATGGCAATTGGAGGACAAATTGAGGGTCATTTCTAACCTAAACAGCAGAAGAAAAGTTGCTTTAGGTAGTGCCTTTGGTCTGTCTGTCAATTAGAGCTATTGCATTGCTGTCAACTTGTACTCCTTCTTTAGTTCCAGCTTTGCTCCATCCTACACAGATCTGTACAAATCAATTGTCTCTCACAAACATGCACTAACCACTGGAAACTGAAATTAATAAACTGTGAGAAAAGCTGATTAATAAAGCTGACACTCCTCTGCCCAACAACTCTGGGTTTCCCCCCTCCAGCTAGCTGTTTGAGATAGGCAGGCAAAGTGGTAAAAGATTATCAAATTGCAACTGTCATTCCTGACAAAATGCATCTCAATGCTGGAAGGAATTTTAGGGTTTAAACTAAACCACCACCCTAAAGGGTTCCTCAGAGCCTGTCAATATCTGTACCTTGGATGGAAAGCTACCACTGAGTGCAGTGTGTCCAACATATAGAACCTGCCACGAAATTAAGTTCTTCATAAGAAAGCTCATCTCAGTCTTGATTGGTAACAATAACAAGGAGACAAGATGAGACCATCAGTCTCAATTGTAAAGACAATGTTTTCCTCCCATATTATTCTGTCTGTCATGTTCCCTTCAGGTTCCAAAGGAATCCCTGTCTCATACATCATTATTTCCCACAAAGCTTGAAAGCCTTCAGGGGGGGTTTCTTCCTGCCCACTGTACCAGCCTTGATGTCTGAGTACCTTCAGAACAGTGACAGAGGCCTCTGCCAGCAATAAAGGGGAACATCTGCATACCAATTAAACTGCTGAGGCTGAAGAGTTAAAAAAAAAAAGAGGGGGGAAAGCCTTGAAAGTAAATCTGAGCCAAGTTCTAATTAATGCCCTAGGCCCCAATTCACCACAGCACTAAGGCATGTAGTTAACTTTAAGCATGTATTTAGTTCCACTGAAGTCAAAAGACAGCATCGAAGAGGCAAACTACATTAGCACAATTTAATACTCTTTGGGCTAATTAATCAACCATAAAAATTAACTATGAGAACTGTATTTCCTATTTCCCTTGCTGTGACATTTCCAGATAAAAATACTTGGATGTGGCTAGAATAAACAAAAAGCACTACCTTGTTTGCCTGTCATGGGCTGCTACAGCTGTGAGGGCCAGTCGCAAAAAAGCAGCTAAAGGAGCTGAACTCTGCACATCACAGCCTAATATCTGTATCTTCTTTGTG